CTCTCGCTCTCACTCTACTGCTTGTCCTCATTTCTTATTGTATCATACCATCATCATTTTTTTTTTCATTCCATTTCAACGCGCTTGAAAACTGATACCGATATTTCAATCGAATTTGGTTCTATGCAGAAGTCTATGATGTCTAAACGATATGGCATTTCTTCAACAAAAAGTAATTTGATGATTTGGTCAAGTGATTTTTTTGTGTATTTGCTACAATGATTTTGCACCTTGTTATTTATGTTTGATTGAAGCAAACAACAGACAGACAAATTCGAATTCAAGCGAAAGAAAAACAAGCATTTTTTTTGAACGAAAAAAAATGCGACTGCTTGCGAAGTATGTTTTTCTTAAGATCATTGATGCTTCAAATGATATTGCCATATCAGGTAAGGTACATGCATTGATTTAAAAACTAACTTGAGATTAAATTCTCACTGTTTTTAGCATTTTTGATGTGACTTCAAAAATTAAAAAAAAAAAAAATCTGTTCCATACGACCAAAGGGAAACATTTTTAAAGAAACAAATATATACGCATACAATATTTTTCCATACGTGCTGTTATTTCTCTGGGTTTTTCGAGAAAAAAATAATAATAACAAGAACGTAAATGAAAAATAGTGTACGAAGAATTACCGAAAAAGAACAGGCACACAACGATATATGTGTTCAACATATATACGAAATAATAAATATTACGAAGAATGAGACGGAATGGAATGAACGAGGGAAAATTGTGTAAATTTGGAGAAGCCAAAAAGGCAACTCAAATGACAAAAAAATATATATATTAGACCAAACGAGTAAAATGTTTGATGAAAGAAGGTTGTGGAGCCAGAGCCGGAATGAAAAATCTGAACGGAATAAAATTCTACCTAAATGTGAAATTCAGAAAAGTCATAGATTCATGCTATTCCGTCACAATAGTACTATACACCAGCCTGAAAAGAATGCACTGCTCTGCTTCGATGAACGTAAAAACGTAAGAAGAAAGAGAAAGAGATTTTTTTTCTTCTTTCGTGTTGTGTTTTTGTGTGTACTTGATGGCACCGTGTGTTCTATGCGTATGTTTATTTATTTTCGTTCATTTTAAGCTACTCCTTGTTCCTTGAGAATGTGTATGTGTGTGTGTATAAGTATGTGCAGAGTATGTATGGCCACTGCCATGGATGCTTGTTGAATCCATTCTTGAATCTCTCCTTTTCTTTAATGCTCATTCGTTTGTCCTCTCTCTCTTTCTTTCTTTCTTTGTGTCTCCCTTGCTCTTTCACCTTCATACATATCCATACATTTTTGATTCTTATTTCGTACGATCATTCGTCGTTCATTTGGGTTTCCTTGGCCTTAGCCTTTTTCGTTATTTTTCTCATCGTTTCTGTGATCGAAGGCATTTGTTGTTATTGTTGATGATGGAAGGAATAAGCGCGCGCAACTTATGGTATGCCTGGATTTCTTTTGTTTCCGAATTTCATGTGTTTTTGTACCTTTTTCCGTTCTTGTTATGCTTGTGCGCAATGTTTTCAGTCCGGTTCCATTGGAACAAAATTTTTTTTCCTCTCTTCGATGCACACACGCATGGACAGTGGTTGCTTATTTTATTGGTAATTTTTTTTTTCTCCACTTCGTTCAGATTGTTGTGGTATAATTTTTTTTACGTTCGTTTTTCTCTTCGACGCTTTTAACCACTTTGTTTGCATTTACATCGAAATTAAAAATGGAAAACGTGTACATTGTTACATTGCCTAGACCAAATGAAGCCAACAACAACAAACTTAATCTGAATAAAAAAAAAACAGCTAATGCTCCTTGTTTGGGTTTCTATTCTTCTCTCTTTTTCGTTCGACGTAAGAGTTTTTCATATATGTATAAATCGAGTAAGCAGAAGTTGATAAATATTTTTTTTTGTTTTGTTTTGTTTTTGTTGTTCTTTCTTTCGCATTTCGCGATTCCACGGCGAGTGTATATGGTAGTAAGCAAAATACACAAAAAAGGAGAGTCGTTAATCTGTGCAAAAGAGACCAAGATCTGACTTTTGTACACGGCTCAAATTCACGGCTTGTTATTCCAATTGTATTGTGAGTTACGTTCTGCGTTTAACGATTATCAGCACCTTCGTGCTGTGTGTTTTTTTTTCTCTCGTCATTTCTCTCTTTGCTTTTGTATGTATGTGCGTACATATTAGCGTATTTTGTATGCGCATATTTCGCCGAGAACGGGCTGAATTGAAAAAAAAATACATGGCCGGTTTTCAGTGTAAATTAAAATCTCAATATGTTTCGTTCTTTTTTTTCGTTCTTCATTTGGATTGTTCGTTAACGATATAAATGGTATTGCACTAGAAGGCAACTGAGCTACTGCGACACCATCTGCTCTCAATCTTAATACACTTACTGTGCGCATGCATTATTGAATTTGGTTGTGCATCGAAACAATGAAGAACAAATCAAAACAACAATCCTCTTCATAAACCACTGTGTGTGAACGTGTGCATTTAATTTGGATTTTATTTTGGCTTTCGCATCAACATTTTCAACATCACACTTCAAGACTGTGTTAATTCAAGAGCGTCTTTTTTCTGTGTTGTATTTTATTTTCAAGTTGACAAATTTCACCTGTTAACGCTTGAAAATTTGATTTGTTAAGATTTTTTTTTGGTTTGAGATGGATTTTTAACAGGGTGAATTTTTTTTTCTCCCGATCAAACTAGAGATTTGTCATTTTTCGGATTTCTAAAAGAAGAAGTAAAGGCGCAAAACGAAGGGACGATCCCAGTATTTTCAATAAGCACATTTGTAAAGTAGCGCATGTGAATACGATTTTCGCATCATTTAAACGTTGCGCAAAAACAATAGCCAACAACTAAGAGAAGAAATTCAAACACGATAAACGAAATGATCAAACAATAGCACGAAAAAAGGCGATTTCGTTTCCATATTGAATATAAGCTGAATGGAATAAGATCATGTTCTCTAAGACAATTAAGTATGTGTGTTGTGCTGGCTCCGGCCAAATTCAGAGGCAAAAATAAATACACGAAATTCATTATCATTATGAGCGAAAAACTAAGCGCATAGTTTGGATCGGAGCGAGAGAAGAGAGGGACAGAGAGAACAGAAAGAAACACAAACCATACGAATCGAGAAATTAACGAAAACATCGAAAGAAAAAAACATACGACTCAACAGAAAACACCGATTTTCAAGTCGAATACGATGCAGATTTCCAGACACACATATGCTGGAGACACATATGCCGAGAATACGAGACGAAACATTTTTGTTTTTTGTTTTATAAAATGTTCGAGAGATACACATGAAAAATATCCATGTTTATCATAAATAATGCTCGGAAATTTTGCGCTTTTCTTGTTTTTCTACGTCTTGATTCCGAGTCAGATACGATAGACAAAACAAAAAACAGAGAGAGAGAGAGAGAGAGAGAGAGAGAGAGAGAGAGAGAGAGAGAGAGAGAGAGAGAGAGAGAGAGTTGATAATTGTGTAAAGCAAGAACATGTTGAAAATGTATCAACGACAACAACATACATATTACATTTCCAGATAGAGACAAATTCGTCTATTGCGTTTTCCTTTGCAACGGAGAGTCGTTTTTATGTGGCGTACTTTTGGTTTAACGCAATTAAAACGCCAAATGCGTTGTTTAGTGTAGTTTCGATGTGTGTTTTTTTTCGTCTTCCGTTAAACGTGCTCGTATTGCATATTGTCGAATTGAGTTTGATCGTTTCTCTTGAGATCATTAAACATAAAATGCAATTTACGTCTATTCCCATTTCAGCCCATAAAACTGTTTCTTCCGTTCGGTTTTCTTTGTTGGAACGACCGACTGATTATCCACGCTGATTGAATTTCTTCAACTACTCATGTTTTGCTCTTCCGCCTTTTCTAACTTACTCCCCCTCTTTCGATCTATCTCTCTCTCTCTCTCAAATCAAACTCACATTTCTACCATCGGCCCCGACTGTCAATTGAATTAAAAAGGATTTCAACTGTGCCAAAAAAAATAAATTCAATTATGACGTCGATCAAAAGAAGCGATAATCAACCGAAATAACAAATAAAATGTTTGATTTAGGTGTGTGAAAATGATTAAAATCCAAAAATAGCAAAGCGAAAGATTGGCGTTTGTGCTGTTTATTTTGAAAATCTCGATTTTCGGCTGATCGCCTGTTTTTTTTTTGTCTATGTTTCCTTCATTTCGGCAGTTACGTTCAATTTTTTACTGTTGTTTATATAGAACGCGAGAGGAGAAAAAAATGGTTTCTTTCTTGTGGCAAAAAAAAACTAATAAAAAAGGTAACTTCAAACAGAATACGTTTTTAGTTTGAAAAATGATTCATTTTATGTCTGTTTTCTTTTTTTCACGCAAAATCACCTTTTAAACAAGAGAAAGACGACGACGAAGAAAAAAATGCGATCGCATCGATATTTTTGTGTGTTTATCGTTCGATAAGCCTAGCCGACGAATGGCTCAAGACATGAAAAAAAAATGGAAGCGTTCGTTCAAACATAAACCTAAAAAAGAAGGTGATAAGAGGATTACATTGAACAAATTGTACATAGATGTATTTTTTTCTTATTCTTTTTTCTGTTTAACTTTTTTTCCATTCATTTTCGGATTCATAATCGAATAAACAAATGACACGGGTTTCCATTTGCTTTTTTCTCTCTGTCGCTTTCTATCTTTCTCCAACCAAAGTTGATTACAAAAAATGATTCAACTAGAGCGCTATTCACTATTCGAGCAACTCAATGCAAACACAACAAATCGTGAAGAGAATAAAATGCACATACACTTCTTTCAACATTTGTTGTGTGCAAACATTACCGAGAACAATTTGTTTCAAATGTCATTTTGTCTTAAACAAATAACACCGTTACAGAATGTCGAAAAGACATTTAATGACAAAATCAATGTTGCTATCTTTAAATTCCATGACAAAAAAAAAACAAACAATTGTTACGAAAAACGGTTAATACTTACATATTACGTTGATAGCGAGAAAATATCTGGCAAAGTCGTTCCATTTCGATCGTGAAATGGATGTGCGATGAAATGATCTTCTGAAGTCTCTTGTTCGCATACATTCAATGCATTCTGCCGGCCCCTGGCCCATTTCTATTTAATTGCTCTACTTTCATTTAATATGCGCGAATCAGAAAATCAATAACGGGCGTTTATCGATCGATCTTAGATGCACCAAATTTTTTGTTGTTTCACACACTGTTTTACTGTTTTCTTTCAACATACAATAATATTTATAAATTATTTCGGTTGTGGTGCGTTTTATAGAAACTCTATATCACCAAATGATGATTGCACGCATTTTTATTGCACAATTCTTACATGGGAGCAGGAGCTGCAAATTAATTAAGGCACATTTTTATGATAAGCTGGTCCGTATTCGATAATGTTTTGAAATCAAGCAAACGTATTGCTTATCTATCAATGGCATTCAATGCTCCGATAAAAACAGCACGATTTCATTTCAGTTCGGCTTCTCTTTTCGAGGGTTGGAAATTCCACGTTTGATTAAATTTACCACATGTTCAATTGTGCCGAATGGCTTTGATGATATATACTCGTTTTGATTTTGGCCTGGCAAAACGCACAAAATTCCTGTACACACACCGTGTTGTCACGTAATTTATTGGCCAGCAATTTAAATCGAAATTAAATTGTACATGTGTGCAGTGGCGTTAAGTGAGCACTTGTGAATCGTTTGGTTTTTTTTAGTTCGTGACTTTTTTTTATTATTATTTTCGTTTTAATTTTCGGGTATTTATCATTGTTTTGCGTCGCGATCAATAAGAATAAAAAAAATTCGGCGACGGATACACACTGTTAATGGCACTTTTGAAACTTGTAAACACTTTTTAAAAATAATCTTGATCAATTTAATTTCAATGTATTTTTGTTGCTGTTGTTGTTGTTGTTATTGTTAATTTGGCGATCTTCATCGATTCAAACGATTGCACATTTGTTTGCCGGTGTTTTGTATTGAATCAAAAACAAAACTCACAAAATGTCAACAAAACAAAGACTTAAACTATGAATATGAATGGTGTTTTCATTCGATAAATAAAGTTAAAAAAACACAACAACCAAAATCAAACTATTTCCAGCCAATCAAAATCACTCACAAGATTTGAATTTATGTTGTGCCTGGATAAAATGGATTTTTAAAATGGTCTGAATGAAATTGGAAACGATACGATTTAAGTTAAAAACATAAAAATAAACTGACAAATATATTCAACTAAAAAAACCGTACACTTTGCGCGCGTCCATTCAATAGAAAATCACAAACACATTTGACACATTCGGTCGTCGGTGTCGAGCCAGACGTCTACGATTTTATACACACAACAATACAAAAAAGAAAACACGAACAAAACACACATCTATTCACAGCAATACAAACGAACACTCGAGTACATGCACACACATAAGATATATGCAATAGATTTCTGGATGTGTGCACCCGCAACCCATCGGTGCTGACATCTATCGAACAATTTCAGTCCAATGGTTGGAAATGATTTGTTTACGCTCTTGAGTGACGAAGCTTTTGAAAAAAAAGTAAAGCAAAAAAATACATTCAATCATCGAATTAAAGATTCATTTTAAAGGCATTTTCATTCAAAATGTCAATTTCATTTGGAAATAAAAATGAAAATTCAAATTAAAATCCAAAAAACAAAAACACACTTCAAAAATGTAAAGACAATAGTAGTTTGCTGATGCCATCTTCTCGTCAAATTTCCAACCATTTTTGGTGCGCGCATTCTTCAGACTTTCATTTCAAATGAAAACAATTTGATTTAATTTTTTTTCACGGTACGAATTTTATTGGTTTTTTATTGTATTTGTTTTTGTATCATTGGTCATAAATAAATAGATAAATAAATAAATAAATAAATACGCAAATAAATAAGTTTTAATTAAATGAACGAAAAAAAAGAAGCGAAGCGTGTCTATGTTTTGATGAATTGAGTCTAATACACCTTAAATGCAATGAATAATATCGTAAACGAAATGCAAAATTATCCGCATTCACCCGAATCGAACCAATCAATTGATCGAAAACGTGTTGCAATTACGATTCATTCCGGAAAAATTGAAATTTCAGCATTCAGTTGAATACTGATATCTAAGTAACTAAGTGTTGTTGTCATCGTCGAATATCGTTTTTCATTTTCGTTCATTTTAATCTTATCTTAAGGATACTCAGGCTCTTCATTAAGTTTAATAATTATTGAATAAACTACGTGTCTATTGGTTTTTGTGTGTAATTTGCCTCTTGCGCAATAGAGACAGCAATGGGAGTTGCTGTCCCGATCTAAGCTGCTTCGGTCGATTGCTGAAGGAATGCCTGGGCAACTGAAGCCAATTTTTGTGACACAACCTGGGCAATATGTGAACTCTTTTGCCATACAAATTTACGGGTACGATCATGATTATCGGCACTGTCTACCTTCACCTGAAAAGTTGAATTCCAATAAGAAATCCCGTTAGTTTCTCACCAAAAAAAAAACACAGGAAAACATTCAATTCAAATTTGGCATGCGGTTTTAATTTATGCTTTGAAATGAGTAAATATTTGAAAAAAAATTGGGTGTTTGTTCGTTCAATGCAAAAATAACTTTTTACGTATCTAATCTGGCTGTTGATATATTTTATCGTAATTTTTGTTTATTTTTGCATTTAAACGTAAACGTCTATCTAATGTATAAAAAAAAGGTGATGATGTTTACCTGTTTTGGTTGTTGAACTTTGATTGAATGAAGTGTGACATTGTTGCCGGAGACACGTAAATTGATGCGTCCAATCATTTGTGTTGTGGTTGCAGTGGCACGTTTTGTTTCTCGTTTAGCACCGCGTCCAAATGATTTTTCCACTCTCAAAACCAATGGACCGAGTACGAAATTCGAGCGCACGGACATATAGTCGCTCATTGGACTATAACCATAAATAGATCAATAAATAAATCGATATGTTTTGGATAAAAAGTGTTTAAAAAAACTTACGTGACGCGAACATTTCCATGACGTTTTATTGTTGAAAGACCGTGCAATGTGCCACGTGCCCGATTGATAACTTGTTGCTGGGGTTTGGTTGCATCGGTTTTGGCCGGTGTCTTTTGTTTGGTAACATTTGCTTTGCGACGCACAACCGTATTTTTATTGTGATGATGATGTTGATTTTGTCTCAATTTATGACCACCAGCCGATGCCGTTGTTCCCGCAGCGGAAGCACCGTGTTGTTGAACACTTTTTTTTTGTTGGGTTTTTGCAGCGACGGAACATTCTTTCGATTGATTCGATTCAACACAATCGGTTCGTGCTTTTGCTTCAGACTCATTGATACTTCCATCTTGGCTGCGGCCCAGCTCATGAACGCTATCGAAAATTAAGTTGATTCATTTGAATATTGAAATAAAAATCGAGAGAGAGATAGGGAGAGAGAAACAACGAACCTCTTCTTCTTTTTCTTTTGTCCATTCTTTTTGACACCCTGTTTGGTTGTGATCGATGTTGATAACCGTACATTGACTGGATCGTATGATTGCTTAAGAATGGCACCAATTCGTTCATAAATCCGATCACAGTAGCGATTGTATTTGTAGACAAGTGCGTCGGGTACGTTGTTTGGTGTGGTGGTTGCCAAAATTGGTGCGGAATCATCATTATCATTTTTTGGTGCAATTTGTGGTGTTGGTGTGATTCCATTTAATGTATCGGCTACATTCAGGAGGGCTGGTGTGACCGATTTTTCTGTTTCTTCAGTTGAATTGACGGATGTAACGGCGCCTGGAAAAATAAGGTTTTTTTTTTGTTCGAGATGTTGTCCGTATCGTTGATTTTTTTGAAAGCAAACTTAAACAGCTTAATAACACAAAAGAATCATTTTTAAATGAAAAGTAATCAAATGATCCGAAAACATAATATAAACAGTAGAAGAGTGCAATTCAGTTTATGATCACATTCAATTGCTAATTGGAAGTGTAGCATTCGAAAATCGAATTTTTCAAGAATTTGTGCTTCGACGAAGGCACGCAAAACTCACAAAAAATTCATTATTCACATTTCTTTTCAACTGAAAGAATATACCATCAATATCTGGGAAAGATGCGCGGACATGAATACATGAATACTAAAAGAGAAAAAGGCTGTTTTCTTAATTGAGAAAGTTTCATCTAGGGGGTAGACACAATAGAGAATGAATGAATACCAATGAATTGTCATAATACCTATCTATTTTCAAATATGACAATTACTTACTTATTTAAAGATTACTTGTACTAAAAATGTGAATACCGTGATTACCAAATGTCAAATTGATATCGGTAATAAAGATTTCAAGTTTCTTCCATTTCGTTTTAACATTCACCATTTCGAAATTTATTTTAATTTTTTCCGTTTTCTTTCTGCTATTTTTATCAAAATTGTTTTTGTATTTATTAAACCAATTGAAATACTACACTTAATAGCGTTGAAAAAGTTTTTTTAATATTTGGAAGATAATATTCATATATGCACATTGTGAGACGTTGCTGAATGCATTGACATTTCGTCTAAAACTGAGAATACCAAGAATACCAAGAATACCAAGAGTACCTTCAATTTCGGTGAATATCTCAAGTAATATTCCATGTGTCTACCCCCTAGAGTTTCATTATCACTTTAATTCAGCTTCAAACGTATTTATTTTTTCTTCTCCTTCGTTTTTTTTTAATTAATTAAATTCGCGCATACAAAATTGAACGAGTTTTTTTTTCATCTTCTTTCATAGCTATCTTTTAATAATTAGTTTTTTTTTTTCATTTCATTGAAATTGTCGTATCTGCTTCGATTTCTCGTGGAACTGGAGGTATGTGTGAAAAACAAGTTTGAGTGCCGACCAATTGAGGGAAAATTGTAATAAAGATTTCATTTTATTCGCACGCACACTTTTCTTTTGTTGTCGTCATCATGGTGGCTGTGTGATGTTGCTGTTCATCGTCTCATGTATGTATGATTTTTTGATTGCATGGGAAAAGGAATTCACACACAGAATATTCGACGAGTCAATTAAAGTATAACCGATTAATGTATAAATATACGCTTTTAAACTGGGTGACCTAGAAATCTACAATGGAGATGGAATCGCAAGCGATGCGAATATCTGCATACGGGAATGTGAATTACGATTATGCGTGTGTACGAGAGAGCGTTCCATGAGAAAAATTGACATTGTTGTCGCTTTTTATTACTTTTGGCTTTGGCGATGATGAAGAGGAGAAAAAAAAAACACAGTCGAGATGCTGAGAAGATCGAAAATCAATGATGATGGCGAGAGTAAAACGGCGTACGGGAAAGTGTCTTATTTTATAAAATGCGTCTTTTTCTTCGTCTTTCTTTCTTTCTGTTTGTCTACCTTTTTGGCTTTCATTCTCATCATGCAAAAAAAAAAAAATATAAATTGAATGAAAAAGAAAACTTCAACGTTAATTGGAATGAATATGTGATAATTGAATATTGTTTAATGTCTGAGAATCACAACTCAGACAAATATGACAATTAGAGTGTCTGAAAGTAAAATGGGTGTGAATGAAAGTATCGAAATTATAATAAATCATAATTCAATCATGACTTTGGGCCACAATTTTCACCGAACAACGCGATTTGATTTCATAGAGAGTCGTTCTTCAAACTCATACAGACCATAGTGATCGAGAGAGATTTTACGAAAAATTTCACGTTCACAAATCACGTATCATGTCCGCACAATTTTATTTAACAAAAAAAAAATAACGCTGGCTCCGATATCCAATTGTCAATAGTGCACATATATTATACTATGTTATTGACTAATGAAGAGTAAAGATTAGACAAAGTAAGACAGTGGCTACCCATCGAATGAAATGTTTACAGAACTAATTGAATCTACTAAATATACGTAGTTGACATGCAAAGCATCTGAAATGGAAAATCTTTTGCAGCTAAGAGGAAGCGCCGAAATGCAAAATAAATAATAGAGAGAAAGAAAGACAGAGACAAGAATTACGATCAAGCGAAATTACATGATTAGCGAAAAACATTTGTTTTTCGTTTATAAACTACACAAAGCCCCAAAGCACAGTATCTAAATCTACAAAGAAAATTTCCATATTTTTGTTTTTTTTTGTTTTGTTTTTGTTTTGTTTACGGTCATTTTGATGTTTCATTTTATTTGTTATGATCTATTGGCTAGTTTTGTTGTGTGTTCAATGTCTGTGATATGTTTCAATATGTTTCTTTGTTTTTTTTTTTGTTCTCTGTGGTATTTTGTATGTTTGTGTGTGTTTTTTTTTAAAATAATATTTTTGTGTATTTGTGTTGTATGGAGGGTTTGGAAGTTCATTTCAAGTTAAGGGCGTTTAGGTGTCTTTCGCTCTTTAGTTCAGTTGAGCTTTCATTTTACGTACGTGTAAGTGTGTAAGTCTTTTTTTTTTAATGTGTGTAGATCATTTGTTTTATATATTTGTGTGTTTGGGTGTAAGTGTCTGTATGTGTATGTGTGTGTGTGTTTGTGTGTATTTCTATGTTTTAGCCGAAGCTTAACAACATTTGATTTCTTTGAAATTTACCGATTTTACTCTGTTAAACATTTTTTGTCAAAAAAAAAGTTTTTTTGTTTATCGAAATGTTTTTTTCAATTAAAACTCAAGAAAATAAAAATTTCGTCTAATTTCAATGAATTCCAATGTTGCCTTCTAACATAAAATCTAATAAAGAACATAAAATAGTATATAATCATACATAGTTTTGTTGTTTTTTTTTTTTTTTTTTTTTGAAACATTTGACTTTTTGAATATTTAAATGCTAAACATTTACAACGAAAGGATTTTGTTCATTTTTTTTGCTTTAAATAAAAATAAATAAAAGTAAAAATAAATAAATAAATAAATAAATTATTTTTTAAAATAAATACATTAGCGCCATGTGATAAATTCTAATGAAACGAAACAATGTAGAAGCAGAAAATGATAAAAAGAGTGAGTACTTGACTAAAGATAAAATATGGATGAAGAGTTAAGCTTTGATATGTATATGTTGTTTTATGTTTTGTTTTTCAGTTGCTCCAAGTTAAAAACTGTTATTATCCATATTTGGAGTAAATGCACGATTTAATGTGAATGAAAGAAAAAAAAATGCCGCGTCAAAATTGTCTCGTCGCGGTTTAGAAAAAAAGGAGAAGAAAAAAGTGTGAATAGAAAATAGATAGAGATGGGTGGCCAAGAGTGGCCAAAAATAGATATATATATATTGAAAAAAGAATGAAATGAAAGCCAAAAAGCGAAAGCACAGTGCGCCGAAAAGGAGAGATGAAAAAGAGTGTGCATGATATGGGTCGTTTTTGTTTTATCCGTCGAAGTTAAAGATGAAGATAAAGAAACACATAATTACACATAGTTTATAAATAGCAATAAATAATTACAATAATCCATTTAAACTTAAACGCAATAAATTGACATACACACACGCGCGTGCGCACACACAATTGACGATCCATTTGCGATTGGTATTGTACACACGCATTTATTCCAAATGATAAATGGTTTTTGGGGCGAGAGTTGATTTTTATTGTTTTTTTTTTTCTTCTTTCACATAGGTTACTAGCTGCGTAGTTAAAAATAACACCACACAATTGGATCGTCAATTCGGCTCAAACTCTTCTCGTATCATTTTCTTCTTCGTTTTTTTTTTGAATAATTAATTGTAGAGTGAAAACAACTTCAATTCATTTAAATTCGTTTGGCATTCTAACTGTACATAATGTGCAAAAGAAAATTAATAAATTTTCAATTTATTTTATCTCTGTTCGTCTTCTACGTTACGTTTCTGTTTTGCGGTTTCCAAGTATTTCAAATTCGTGTCATATGCGATCAGATTCTATCCAATTTTTTTTTGTTTGTTTTCTCTTTTTTTTGGGAAGGTGGTCTCGTCTTAAATTAAAACATAATTTTGTCTGCACTTTTTGCGGCGAGTGAACTGATCGCTCGCTGCTTTCGATCTTGCGATTTCTGTATATACGTGTTTATGTGTGTGTTCTACTTATTTATGTATTTTTTTTGACTCACGTGCTTTCCGTCCACGAGCTTCAAGTGCATCTTCGCCAAGAAGATCCTTTCGTTTCGCCAACAGTCAGTTGCAAATGTGATTGTGCACGTGGAATGCGCAATTAAAATAAAGAAAGAGAGAAACACATTGCGGCGGCGTTAACAAATTTTAGTGTCACTTGTGGTTTTGATGTGATTGGGTACTTACCTCTTCTTCGTCGTCATCATCATCGTCGTCATCGTCATCGTCGTCATCATCCAGCACTAGAAAATTTGGGATGCGTTCAATTACATATTATTTTAAGCCAGTTTTCGTGATCTTTTCTCCTATTTAAAATTCAAAAAATGACCAACATGCCAATTTTTCGAAGGTGTCTACACCTGACCTGAATGACTTATTTGCCGTTTACGAATTTAACTTTTAAAAATTATCGCTCGAAATTAAATTTCTTTTTTTTTTTGCAAATTTGAAGCGAAAAGTAATCAAACAGCAAATAAGTGCATATGAGCTTATGAAAAGCAACCAATATTCAATATTCAATATCCAATATGTTAAGAAAACTGCATAAAATCGAAAATTGTATTAAAAAAATCGTCCAAAAACGTTAAATTTCAAATGGCTATTGAAAAAATCGGATCAACAACGAAAGAATATCTCATTTTAAAATTCTACAGTGAAGAAGATTTGAATGTTTACCTTCTTCGAAATCGGTTACATCATCGTCGTCATCATCGTCATCGTCATCGTCGTCATCGGATGAAGCATTCGATACCTGTTGAACGGCTGGTTGGGCAACAGAGGCGGCTGCCGTTTGCACTTCGGCTTGGTCTTTCAAGTTTGAATCGGCTGTTAAATCGACACCATTTTGAATACTTTCTACCTCAACACCGACATTGTTTTCTTCTTCGTTATAAGTGTCATCCACTGCACACATCCAAAAGAAAATACACAATTTTGTTTGTTTTTGTTTCGTTTTTCACCCAGAGAAGGATAATGGTTGTCAGTTAAATTTTTTTGTTGAAATTATGATAACGACAAGTGATTGATTGTGATAGGGTGTGCAATTAAATATGGCATACAATGTGCATGAAATTGGTTTTGATTTGGTGGCATGTGTGTGTGCGGGGATTATCAAAATAATGGAAGGAGCTTTTTATGAATACACCGTGTAAAAGTTACAGCCGTACATCTCATGTGGCCATTTTTTTTTCTTGTGAACATGATTAGAACTATTTATAAGCCATAGAATGTCAATGCAAACATTTAAACGGTGTATTGGTGGAAACTGAATGAATCATTTACCTGGATAATCAGCTGCGACCGGTGATTCTTCGGCAATATTCGTGGCGGCTTGTACTGGTTGTTGAACACTAGCAGCTGGTTGCTGCAAACCAGTCGATGGACTAATTTCATCTTCTTCATCATCATCATCGTCTTCGCCTAGAATATCGTCGAAGAAACGTTCGAGGTAGTCATCGTCATCATCATCGTCACCTATAATCAAATAAATTCAACAACAACAAGAAATTGCAACAAATTATACAATTTTCAATCATTAAATTAAATGTGAATTAAAAATCTGAATCTATGCAATTTTTTGGATTTTCTTCATAAAGTCTGTTGATTACACTTTATTCATTGATAAAATAAGTTAAGGTTTACCTTCTTCATCATCGTCGTCATCATCGTCATCGTCTAAAATATCCAAATCATCATCGTCGTCGTCATCATCATCGTCGTCCTCTTCAACGGCGGCAGGAGCAGGGGCGGCTGCACTAACTGTTTGTTGTCGTGCTACTTCGTTGGCTTTAGAACCATCATTGAATGCTTGAACAACTTGTACGGGTGATGCGGTCGTTAATTGAACAGCAATCAGAGTTGTGGTCATAAACAGCAATAGAAAGGTCAGCTTCATTTTTTACTATAAATTTTTGGAATCCTAAACATTGACAAAAATAAACAAAACAGAAATGCACCATTAAATTATCAGTGAACGGGCAGAAAAATTGGTCAATTAAATAAAATGTGAGTTAATGCTTTGAACTTCCTTAAAACGGTCGCATATTCAATATATCTCCGTCTTTATCAGAAGTCAAATTGTATGCGCGCGGAAGTGATTTTATTTTACATAAACGCTAGACACGCACATACAGAGAAAGAGCAATTGAAAGTTGCTTTATTCCAGAGAAAAAAATCAGTGTCATGGAAAAAAGGTAGCAGCAACGACACATATCAAAACAGCATATTCATACTAATTCGAAGTATTTTGGTTCGTTTCTCGCTTGTTTTTAAAATTGGTATCACGCACAGTTGTAAAGAGTTAAGCGTGCACAGCGTGATTTCGTGGTCGGCTGTTGATGCCGTCGTCGTTGTTGTTGTCGAAATTTTTTTGAGTGGCGCATATTAATTTTGACGAACCGGGACATCGATAACCTTATTTTCGATGTCAGCTTTCGAGCATTTTAAAGAAATTTTCAATTATAAATTCAATTCGAATTGCTTCTCTCGTACGATTGCAATGCAAAACAAATGAGCGGGCGGCAGTCGATGTATGTGTGCCGCATTTTATTTCACCGTTGGTTTTTTTTATGTAATTAAAACTGATATTGACGACTTCAATGAATTTCACTTATTATCTCTGAATTGAAACGGAAACGGAGATGGTGGTCAACGGTACAATAAACATATTGTTTTATATTTGGACCGTTCTACTTTTTCGGCCGAGCGAATTATGTTACGTTCTTTTGTGTTTTTTATAAGCATATTGTTTGGTTATTTGTCGACATTTCTGGAAGTCATTCATTTGAAGAGAACGCATTTGGATTGGAAGTGTTTGAATGTTTGCAATCAACACGGACCACTAATTAATCAGTTGAGTCTATTTGGCACACAGCCATTATCAGTTGCATTTACTCATTCTGGTGTAATTGATTCAAATTATCGGATGGTTCATGATTTGTTAATATATAGATATTTATATTTTTAGCCAGTGTGTGTACGAATAAAAATGTAAAACCGTGAAAAAAATTTGAATAATAAGTTGAGTCACCTACTTTACGTGCACGGTTGGTGTTGGTTTTTTTCTTATCTTCTTCGTTTTTACTTCACCGAAGAAAAGTGGCTGAACGCTATCGGCCATTGCTCACTCTTCTCTGCATGAAGAACTCAAGCCAAAAACAAAATCAAGGAGAGGAAGAAATACACACATATTTATGTACAAATGCAAAATGAAAAGCGGGGCGTGCAACGATTAAGAAATGCAATCTAAAGCAAGTCCATATTGAAAGCCAATTATGCATCTTGATCATGGATAACGGTTTTTTTTTCACCAGCCTACAGACGTGGCTAGAAAGACAGTGAGAGAGAACGAAAGAGAGCGCACACCACCAATAACCAGTAAGAAGAACTTCATCCAAAATGCGTGCACTAAACAATGGTCATTATGAGATAAAATTACGAAGTCAGTCTATTGTTTTAGATGTGCGTGCGATAGTACTTTAATATGCACAACTATGAGTGTCTGGACAATGAACATGGATATTGTCCGCATTTCACTGATGCAACCAAAGTGATGGAACACTTCACATCTTACCAAAAATGTTTACCGATTTATTTTTTTAACGTTTTTGTTCTTGTTTTCTCATCCAGATCTTACGAACAACATTTTGATTGAAACAAATCGACCGGTCGAAGATTCAATTCAGGATAAATATCAATTCGATTCGAAAGTAAATCACATCGAAAAGATGCACTTTTATCTGTGTTTGTGCCTCCACTTTCCATTATCATGATACCGTTGCGTTTGAATTGGCATTCAAGCATAGACACAATGTGTCACACAATTTTTTCATTGAATTTTATCGAAGACGATAATGAGAGAGCAACTTGTTGCCGGTTTATATAGTGTTAATGGCAAAAACTTTCTTTCAACATATTCTTTCTTGCAACGGATGCGTTATGTGCGCTCGCGCACGCACAACATATCAACTTCCAACTTAAGGAGAGATATTGGCACCAAAATCAGTCATTTGCGTCTTTAGGTACATAAACACATACACACACACGAGCGGCGATAACGATAATTCTTTTCGCAACAATTTTTAGCGGTCGTGACGTACGATGCCGATGGGTTTGGTTTCTTCTTTCGAATTTCTGCCGCACAATTTCAAGTTAACACACTTAAAATTGGTGTCGAAGCGAAATGATTATACTATTCGGATTGCCCTTATGTTATACATAAATACGTGTTGTGAGACCAGCTCAACATATATACATAAATTTGAATGAAAAGAAACAAAACAAACGGCCATTATGGCCAATCTCACGTACGTCATTTATCACTTTTATGACCGAATAGTTCAAAAGTGCCCTGCCAAAACGACCTATTGAATTTCAACATTTGAACGAACCATTTTCATTGAAAATGGACGTGCATCGCGATTGTCATACCTGTGCTTCTTTTTTCATCATCTTTCCAATTCTAATTTGTTGAATTTTAAATTCATTTCAATAAGCCAAAATCAGAATATTACTGTTATTCATTTAAGCTGTATCGTCGTCGAAATCATCATCGCGTTGTCAATGTGCGCGTGCTTATGTGCATGAGAAAAGAAAGAAAGAAAGAAAGAGAGAGAAAGATATGTATGCGCTAAACAAAGTTACCATCAAGTGCCATTATCTATCTTCTGATGTACACACATAAATGAATTTAAGAATGGGGTCAAAAATGAGGCAAAAACGAAAAATAACGACGAAGAATAAAAAAAGCACGGAAAACAACAACAATCTGAACAGCAAACAAGCCAATCAACTTGAGCATATGAAATGTGGCATGTGTGAGAAGGTATAAAAAAACCGAACTACACTCTCTCAAGATATCGAAATGGTTAAAGAAAAATTGGAATTGGATATGCCATCACAATCGTCGTCGTCGCATAGTGCTTATCATTGTTGTAGCTGTTATTTGTTAAACGGTTTTTTTCTTCGTCTTTCATGTGTGTGTGTGTGTTTCTTTATTCCATTCGCCTTTTCATTTATTACTTCATATACAGAACTATATATATAGATGTACAAACACATTCAGTCATACGACTAAGAGTTTTGTTTCGAGCCAGTTTTGCCATCTTCATTGATATTAATATCTCTGTTGCACACACAATACCGGTATAATGTGACATGATTGTTGTTTTGGTGTGTGTGAAAGACGACAAACGTTATCTATTGCACGAAAGAACAAGAATGAACGGATTCAAACCAAACAAAACCAAACCAAACCAAGTTGACAAATCAAGTTCTGTATGCCGTTATATGGCCAATAATATTTGTTGAAAGTGCGCACATTTGCACACAATCACAATCAACGACCGTTCCACGGTGGATGGAAAATGTTGTTGTGCTTTTACATTGAGATGCAAAATGCATTGTTTGTGTGTGCGAGCGCGCGCGGGCGATAGATGATGACAATATGAACGACCATCAGTTTTATCAATGTCAAGAACGATGGAACCCATATAATCGACGCTGTGTCAATTGTACTTTGACAATTTTAAGCGATTCCATTTTCACTTTTTCTTTTATATTAAACCGAGAACAAAACAATTCTTTTTTTCTTTCTTTTTCTTTGTCTCTCTAAAAATAAACGCCACAACGGTTTGTATGATTAAAACCGTTCGAATCGTTGGCATAAAGAATAAAACACCACAAAGACACAAAGAGTTAAACGAGCGCAATGACACACTGTTGAAGGTGCTCAGGCTGCTTCAAGTTCATATGAACACAATTCCGAAAATGTGGGTCAAAATCCAAAACACGAAAACAACAAATTGTATGGTATTGCGTTATGCCGATCCACTATACCAATTCATTACGGAAAAAACTGCATTCAAGCATAAACCCGACCGATACACATGCCATCAGTTCTCTCAATAAAAATTGTGGAACAAAAAAGGCGATTCGTTTCCGGCAACAACAACAATCGCCGACTTCATTTCGACGAGAGCAAAATAAGCGTAACAAAAAAAAGAACAACAACAACAACAAAATAAAGAAATAAAAACATTTTTTTTTTCTCTTCTCAGTTACATTCATTGGGCTCGATGAGATATATCGAGCGAGCGTTCAAGTTCAGTAATTGTCTTACTTTCTTTCTGTAGTTTACTTGTTTTGTTTGGTTGTGGCTTTTTTCTGCTGCCTTTTTTTTTCTTTAACTTCTTTTGTGACTACGCTTGGCTATTTTGTGTTCAGGTTATCGTCTAGTTCTTCTGTGAGTGTGTGTACTTTACTTAATATTGCATTTAACCAGTCATTTAGCTGCGATTTTTTTCTTCTATTATTTCGTTCGCTTCTGCGCCATCGTCCGTCTTATATACATGGACATGCGCTCATTTCTCTAATCCACATATAAATGTCTGTTCACAACAGCATAAAACTCCACATCTCTTTCTCTCTTTTTATTTAAAATATTTTTGAAAAAACTCTTTTTTCTTCTTCGTTTTTCTCTTATTCTGGTTGCGATATGTGTTGTTTAATTTGCCAATTGCTCTTTGGTATTCAAGTGCGGCAATAACTCAACTAAATGCTCTTCAATTATCCGCACGTATCTCTATATATATATATGTGTGTGTTGTTCAACATTTTCGTGGCGGATACATTCGATATTGCGTAAAAATCGTTTCATACGTTCTTGTTCTAGTTTGTATGCAAATTTCTTAACTTTTCTAATTTTTAATGTGGAATCTATAAACCTGGTTCTTTTTATGTACACCAAACTAAAAACTTTCTATATTCGTATTGCTTTTTACGCTTTTAGGCGTTGTTCTAATCTGTGATGTTTGTAAAATCCAAAATCGTTCGAAAGATGTTCACCAAACTAAACAAAACAAAAAATCACACTAAATGAATGCTCTCACTCGACTTGATTATTTATTTATCGCGAAACTCTGCAAAAAAAAAATTGTCACCACAAAAAAAAACAACGGTGAAAATTTCCGTTCAATTTGATTAACGAATTGATATGCTGCGGATGATAGTCGTGCCACGAACAAAATTTCGAAATCAAAACGACAAATCACAATATCCAGTTATTGTTGCAGTTCGCAACGGTGAAAAAAAAATTTAAATTTAGACAGGAAAAAAAGGTGCGAAATCATGTAGAAACAATCGAAACGAAACTAAAAACTAACTAATGACAAAAAATGAAAAAAAAAAAAAAATTAGAAGTAAACACGTACAAACTATTTGGTTTTGGTTTTTAATGATTAATTCCGTAATTGGTTCTGTGTGTGAATTCGTGAAAAAAAAAATTCGGTGGCCGGAGATCTTCACTGTACAACACTCTAACGAAAAATACATGCAGCAACGGCACTCACCTTTCTTTTATAGAGTTACATCACCAAGCAGCACCAGTCAGTCAATCAGCTCATTTCTTTTCTTCAGTTTTTTATTCGGTTCTCTTCTCTTCAACGCATTTCTTTTCCATTTCTTTCTCGCTGCTGTGCCCAGCTTTTCAGCGAACGGTTTGGCTCATTCGGATTGTGTGTTCTGGGAACTTACACGAGACCGATCAACACTCTCAATACACGACCGTATGTGACGGTTTATTGCTTCGAAGAAAATTCAACTAGCTACCGTCAGCGAAGAGAATAGATGTGCGTGTATGTTTGTGTGTGCGCCTAAGTTTGAGAGAAGAAGAAAAAAAAAACACATAATAAACGAATAAGTACAGCATTTTAACGCAACTCTGAATAATCTGATAGAAAAAGAAACAGATATGCACATGACGGCACACGCCACTTTATTCACAAGATTTTAATCAAATCAACGATAATTGTAATCTATGCGTGATTTGAGCTCATTGTGCATCTCTCATAGATAAATACGTTAACTTTTCTCAATCTAGTCTCCTACTTAAGTGGTGTGTGTTTTTTTTCTCTCTTCGTTTTTTTGTTTCATGGGGCCTTGTTTCATACGATTCGAATTGGATTTCACTTGAAATCGGTTAATTCAATGCATTTTCCTTGACAATTCATCTCAGATGGGTAATTTTGACAATTCCCAAATTAATGTATTGTTGGAATTTTATTTTTTTTTCTCTTAATTTGATTGTTATTTTTTTTTACTTTCTCGTCATTTTTACTGCAGTTCATGAACAATCTACATCATCATTACTTATAATAGCTGTTGCGATATACATTTTTTTAATCTTTTTTCTTCATTTACTCTGTACAGAGGACAAAAACGACTTTGGAGCTATGGAAATGTTTTATTTATTTATCAGTATCAAAGAAGTCTAATAAAAATCAAAGAATTGTGGAAAAAAATGAAAAAAAAATGTGGCAAATGAAAAAATCTAGCTCAAATACGCACTAATTTTGAACGACAACTGTGATGGCCAAAAACAAGACATTCAAGCAATTCCGTGCAAAATTCACATGGTAAAGGATGTAATTTGACCGACTGGGTTCAAGCGGGTTCAAAAGGTTTTTGGGAATGTATGTCATATTTTAGGCACCGAAACATTCTGTACACCAAACTTGATTTATTGGGTGCTTTTATCATGAAAATGGTTAGTTTTGCAGTACATTCGCTTCTATTACCAATGAAACAATTTTATACGCACAACTGGACCAGTAGGTCAAATTCGTCGACGAAAACAGCAGTAACATAAAAAACATAAACAAAAATCTTAATATAAAAAAAAAACGATATGTGCGATACGCTTGCTGTTAATATATGGTGTTTATTTAAAAAGAAAAAAAAACGATCTCATATTTATTTGGTGAAATAGGTTTGAAGTGCAAAAAATAATGTTCTGCCTCATTGTTTTGGGTCATGCACCCAGAAAATGCGCAGCTGCAACAACAGTAGCATCAAGAGAATGGAATGCAAGATTATTTCCGTGACATCGAAATTAATTCATTTGGTTTGGAAAATGTTGGGAATATGAGAGAGAAACGAAAACTCAATCGCTTGATCCAAAACGCACGCATTGCATCGCCAACTGCATTGTTCACTAGAACTGACTGTGTGTTTTTTTTTTCGTGAATCGTCGATGCTCATATATTTCTTCTTCACGTTTTCTTCTTTATATTGCAAATCAGTTTTCCGCTGTAAAAAAATGAATATCGTTCAAAACAGTGTATTCATAAACCAAAAAAAAAATCTTCACAATGGAGCACACAAATCGTTCTCGCGTTTCACCTTGATTTCAGAACGCATGCTGAATATTTAAAGAGGCAAAAAAAAGCGAGACGCGACACAAAGCTTGCAGAATGTGAACAAAAAAGCATATAAATTGATGGTATTTAGCTTTCCACACGCTCTTGATATGTGAATTCGCAATGCAAAATTAATTGAGCGGGCGTATGTGCACTTTAAACGATTATTGTTTCACCTCCATGCTGCTCTTTATTCACAGAAGAAGAAGAACAACGAAGAAACTGCACAAAAAGGTGAATTTATTTTAATTTTTTTTATTTTTGAATCATCTTCATTACTCTTTGAATACTTTTGTTTTTTAGTTTTGTCGTTGCTTTGCTTTCTTTTCTTGATTTTCTTTTTCATTGATACCGATTTTCTTTCAATACATATATTGACCTAATTTCACTTTCATGCCGCGCACTCTCTCACATTCACACCGTGTCGTGCTCCACAAGAGAAACGATGTGATCGGCAAACGCATCGATCAAGTACAACGAGTACATGCTACAACAACAAAAAACAGTAACATTGACATTCGCAACGGTGGCATTCCGATTGTTGACTCTATTAAATAATGGAAACCTGAACCAAAAAAAAATCGATCTACACACACGCCATTTAGTTTTATGAAAATATTCGTTTTAGGTATTTCTGTCCATCAGTGACCAATCTGCGACAACAGGTGCGAACTCATCTCACAAGTTACAAATGAACGTACAATAATTCTCTCAAAAAATACTCTTTTTTCTCTTTCGAAAATAAACAATTCTGATCAGTTTCTTAGAATGGTTATTTTATGCTCAGAAATTAGGCTAAACGTGTTTATTGCGTTTTTGAATGAAATCGGGTCTTTTATGGTAATATATTGCTTGTTTTAATTGATCGTTAAATGTTTATTTTATCTTTGGAATTGATCAATTGATGTTATTTTCAATTTCAGGGAAATAAAGATACAAATAATACACTCTTTTTTATCATTTGGAGCAAAAGTAATGTTTTCAAATAATCAAAACAAACGATCAGATGGTTAAAATCGTTTTTTTCTATTGAAAACTCGCAATAACTGTCAGTTATTATTAATCAGAAAAAACTTAACATGTAAAGTGTTTTGTGGAAAAGCTTGAAATAAGCGCAACAGTTGCTTAATCAGCGCCGTGCAAAAAAGTTAAAAGATGTCGCTACTTGTAGTCTTCGGTATTCAAGTGCAGTGATTTGTATTTGACAAAAGTCATCTGGTTCGTTGGACACCTGATATAAAAAAAACTTCTCATCATTCCGAAGAATGGTCTGAAAGTTTGATTAAACGAGACGAATTAAAATTAAATTAACAATATGTGAATGCCGTTGGGTCCATAATTTTGAAGCAGAAAAAATTGAATTAAAAAGTCATTCCAGCTGGAATTGACGTTTCCATTGGGGAGCTTCAAATACATACATCGTACAGTGTTGTAGATACACTGAAAATGTGTCTACTGCGCCGCTCACCAACTCACACTCGCTTGCTGACTCGCTCACTCATTCTCTCCAGATTGAGATATATTGGTTTGGTATTTGGAGCCGCGCACTCACACAAACTTATGTTCGAACGCATGAAATATACGAACACACAGGATCTCCACTGTGGCGTTTTTTTTGCAATATAGCCATACACAACAAAATTCTATGTATGGATGAACATTTTGATTTTTTCTCTTTCTCTCTTTCTTTTTCGTTCGCTTCTCATTTTGCCTGCCTCACTGTCTTCCTCTTCTTCTTACAAACGTTTATTTCGTGATTCTTTTCGCTCTGTGCGAGTACTCGATTCTGGATTATACACATTTATTCGTGCTGAATATCTTGAAACTGTGATGCGTAAAAGTGTTTTAGTTGAATAGAACGAAAAATAGGCAAAAAATTTGTTTCAAATCATTTTTTTTTTAAATTTGTTAAAAACAACACGAATCGAAATTAGTTTTAATTTGGTTTTGGTATTGTTTGTATTTTTCTGTTTGGTGTTCGAAAAAAATTTCTTGCTTCTTTTATATCGTATCGTGAGAAGGCAAAGTCAATGCGCGCCAAATTAAGCGATAAATTTATTAAATCCGATAAAAGAAGTAAAATTTGGATGTTACCATTGAAGGTGCTTCTCAATGAGAAATAGTAAATACAAGTTTGTTACAAGCATACAAAAAATAAACATCGCAAATTATTATTTTTTCGGAAATAAACAACAACTAAGAAACGAAGAGATTCCTTTGCATTGCGTATAACTGTTCATGGTATTTGGAAAAGTAAATGAATCAAGTAGAAAGAAAAGAAAAGCAAAATTCTGTTCTAATTGCCCTTTGGTTATAGTATCTGGCAGTGTGTGTTTAAATTGACAATAAAAAAAAAAAAAAAAAAAAAACAACAACGGAACGCAAACAGAAAACAAATTGTGTATATTTTTCGGTTTCGGGGTGATGGAGAACAACCAAATATGATACAGTGGAATCGATTATATTGATGTCATAGGAAATAAATTTCTCGACTTTACGAGGAAAAAAACGCGCAAAAAAACTAGAAAAACTTCTAAAAAAAATCACAAGACAACTCTCAAAGAGCGAGGAAAAACAGAGAGATACACACAGTTAGTTGATTTCAAATCAAAAGTCAGCAGCAGCAGCAGCAGCAGTAAGAGCAGCAACACTAACAGAGCAGGAGTAACAATAGCTGCAAAGCAATAGACAAAACGAACAAACGAAAGAAGTGTTGAAATCTTTGCATGAATTCGTGTGTGTTTATGTGTGTCGGTCATTCCAATTCGATTCAAAATTAAAACTCAGCTCACTATCGGCACATTTTATTTTTCTGTGTTGCTTTCAATTCTCGTGTCTCTTTTTCTCGTTCTCGCGCGCGACGTTTGCGACAAAAACACCGCATCAATTTTTTTTTGTTGTTGTTTCAAATATTATTTGATTTCGGTGTGTTTATATGAATATTTGTATGTGATTTCTCGATGAATTTTATTTTCTTGTTTTAGTTTTGGTGGTGTGTTCTTTTTTTATTCCTATTATCGACCGATTTGAAATTGATTGCGAGTCCAATCGTTGATTACCGTCGGCATTACGTTCTTAAATATTGTCGTAGTTACGAAAAGCACAAAATCTTCTTTAGATTTTTGTGTGCGCTGTCGGCTTTACATTGGTTGAGTTTCATCTCACTCGATTCTTTCCCTTTCGGTTGTTCGTGCAGCAGCGTTCAGTAGCAGTTGAAGCTAGGCAACAACCGAAGCAACAGTGGCATCATCATCATCATTTCGGGCAAAAAAAAATAACATTTTTTCAGAATTTATAACGACAGTGACCAGTGGTGTGGTGTGCGTGTATGTGTGTGGTGCCAGTGTCGTGCAAAATAATTTGAATTACGAATCGAATCAAACGAAAAAAAATTGATCGAGATGCCGTTATTTGGTAAAAAAGACTCCACCAAAAAATCGAAACGCGATTCTCGTGATCCAGACAAACAGTTTACGATCGAGGAGAAGTATAATCTTAAGGAGTTGTTAGGAACGTAAGTTGTCACCCCCTTTTTTACATGATTTTTCTTCATTTTTATTTTCTTTGCGATAAGTAAATACTTTATGGTCTCATCGATGTGTTTGTCTTTACCATTTATCATCGAATCACATTCGTCTTATATAAATAATATTTCCCTTCATTGTTGTTGTGTGTATTTTATTTGCTTTTCAAATCGGTATTTTTTTTCGATGAATCTATACGATTAGAACGGTTTCGCTCTTTCTCTATCTATCTATTTTATATAAAGTATAGAAATGGACACACATTAAATACACGTCAACAAACTACAAACACGACTGATTTATCACATTTCCATAATGTGTAAGTGCATGTGATAGTATGTGTGCGTGTGGTTGTTGTTTGTCATTTAAGCCAGAGCCCAACACTTTAATGATGACGAAACAAATGAGAGCAACAGAAACAGGGGGCAACTCGACTGGCTCTACCAAAGAAAATTGCCAGTTAAATGTATATGCTAGCGCAGATATCAGATTATTAGTATTATGGCGTGAAATATTCGATTTTGATGCCATGATGCCAAAGTGAAGGCGACAGGATCGACTTTCGTTCGATACTGTAATTGCGATACAGTAATACAATACACAATATAGCAGCAACAGTGGTGATAGTGGCACACACACACACACAGCATTTGCTCTCTGTCTCTCGACGGGGTTTTGAATTATGATGTGACCATCATTAATGATATGATCCAAATGGAGGCGACTCAGACATACTAACACACTTCATACATACTCATATCATAGATTGACAACGATGTATATTTTGATGATGTTCACTCATCGCCAAATTTGTGTTTTGTCCATAAAATCGATTTAAAAATTTCGGTTTTTGAACATTACTTGACACTAGCAAACGAAACGGTTCATCAACGAATCTATTCTAATTGACATGGGATGATGTGAAACAATATCAACAACAACAAACTCTCGCGAACAACATGAAATTAACATCGACCGAAATCTTTTTGCTGTTTTTCATATTGTCACCAAATTACATGGCTTTATCATTTAAAATGATTCATTTTCTCTCACTCTCAATCCATTAATTTATAATGTCGAAAAACCAATGGGACGACATTAAAAATCTAATTTATTCGCTCTCAATATTATAATATCATCCAATTGATGATGTTCGCGAGTTCTCTGCTCGCTCAATTTCTATATCTCCAACTATGTGGCAAGTGTGTGTCTGTCTGTCGTTGAGAGCGACTGGAATTATGTTTAAACAAGTTATGCTCAATTTTTTATGACTTTCCGATATTGATATTATCTATTATCACATTATAACCAATATCCGTTTGTATTTATTATACCAGCATCCTTTCGGTTCTACGGTTCATTCAAAAAATGAAATGAAAAAAAAAATGATTTTACCAGCACTGAGTTTTCAAATTATCTTTCCTTTCATTCTCCGTTCGGCGCGCAAATGTTCTAGCCAGAACGTGCTCTTTTTTCTCGCAGGCCTCTCTCTCTCTCTCTCTCTCTCTCTCTCTCGCAATTTATTGCATCGAAGTTAAACAATTTATTGGCACACTTTTCAATGTATGGCTCATTTGAAATGTTACCGTGCATGATTTGTTGTTGTCGTTCGTGTTGCAAAAAATGGTATCAATCTCAAGCCAGTCTGTCATTTGTCACATAAAATTACATTGTATTTTAATGTGCTTTATGAGAAATAGAGCAAAAGCTGTTGTTGCCGCTATTGAGAGCAAATAGCAGCACAAAAAAATAATAATAATAATATGAAACAACAATTCTCTGTTTGAAATCGCAATGATCGCCTTAGTGTGTTTTAATTATTGGTTTAATGCCGTCGCTATGTAAATGAGTGTTGTTTATTTAAAGCAATGGAGTAATGAAGCAATGTCAACAGATAAAGCAATAATCGCTAATTACATTTCAACTGCAAACGATAGAATGGTTCGAGGAAAATGTAAAACTGGCGACACAACCGCCAGCATTCCCGTGCTTCTTTTCGCTTTTCTCTCTCTCTCTTTCTGTCTCTATTGTGCCCCTTGCTCTTTCCACCCATTCCTCACATGACTATCATCATCATGGAAAGACGGCCGAATGAAACTACAATCATCACATCTAAATATATATATTAAAAGTTCGTATGTAGAACAGGCACATGAAATCGTAGTACGATTTGTGAACGGGGTGAAAACCAAAATCCGAAACAAATAATAATCGTTGATCGTATTTGATATGTTTGGATGTCAAATAGACATTAAAAAGGCAGCGTAATGGCATTAAAATGAAAAACTTTTCAACGAATTAAACAACAAAAAAGATAGAAACAGTCGCCATCGCTGCCGCCGTCTCCGCCGCCGTCACCACCACCGTTGTCGTCGTTGATATTGCTGTTGTTGTCATCAAACAAACTGCAAAAATTCAAAATGGTATTGAAACAAACAATAAGCATTAAATGCTGCTGCGTTATACTATGCTTCTTTCTCTTTCTGTTTGTATGTATGGCAATGAAATTTTTTGACGAAACACAAAACTTTACAACTTTTCTCAAAAAAAAAAAAAAACTTTGCACTTGTTCATGGCAGTATATACGAGTGTGCAAAGGAACAAACACAACAAAAAAAGAGTGATTGAGCACGGCGATAATGTTTTAATGCTAAAAATAAAATGAAACAAAATATAACTAATCGCATTATGCACTCGCGGTCGCACGCTCATTCATTTCTTATTTCATTCGATGAAGTTCGAAACATAAAAGTCGTCGCATTTTGAAACCATATTTGGACGTACTCAGCTGTTTTGGTTTGTGTTTTTTTTTTCTTCTTCTTCTTTTTATTTCACAAAATGCTCTCTCCCCCGTCGTATAACTTTTTCATGAACATACACACTGAGCTTGTGGGGATATCTTTGAAGTTCAAATGTTCTTTGGTGTTGTTGTTGGTTTTTTGGGGGGCAAAAACAATGAAAAAACTGGATCGACGTCAACAACGTAAACTACAACGACAACAATAAAAACCCATGCTACAGTGAAAGGTGAATGCCAAATCGTTTTCATCGATTTGCCGTGCAGAATGCGTTATGCTCGATACAAAATCGTTCGGATGTCACGCAAATGACATGAATTCTCACCACTTTGTAAGTGAGTGATGTGTTCATTATTTGGTTTCTCCTCTCCATCATCGTAATCAAATAAACAAATTTACAACAACCAAAAAGAATTGTATTGCGAGCAAATTGTGGCATGTGTACTTTTTTTGTTGATGAATTGAAAAGCTTAGAAGCAACTTCATGTAGGGGGTCAATCTGAATTTGGCAATTGTTTGTTTGTTGTTTTGGTTTTCAGTTCAAGTTCAATTGTCACAACATTTTCCGGTATTTTTCGCTTCTCTTTTACAGTTTTTCGTCGTTTAAATAACTATGAAAGATTTGCCAAAGGGAAACAAATACCAAATTTCAAAATAAACTGAACGGATTTTGTTGATAAAACAATTTCCGCCGTGTTGTTTGACACCATGGCATGTGCCCGTCCGTCACATGGTTTGTAACTCAATTTTCTTCATCAACCGACCTGAAACAAGTATTATATATCAATGTCAATTCAACGTACAGTGCATTTTATCAAGTAATTGTGTGCAAATGTTTTATTGTCACTGTCATCGTTGTCAGATTTTGTTCGTGATTGCTTTTCTGGCACTCTCTTTTCGAGGATTTTTCATTTAAAATTATGCGGGGCGGATCATTTCGTTTGGCGCAAGTTATTGCTTCATTCAAGTACGAGCTTATTTTGAATGCATTACATCTGATGTAAAATCTGCTAATGTCTACAACATTTAATGCTAGTGCTGTATATAAGATGAATACTGACATTTGCACAAATGATGAATAATTTATTCAAATGGTGTCGATGCTAGTCGTGAAAAGAACTGAAAAATTGCGATTATTTTGAAAGGAAACAAAAATGTTATATTACTTTCTTTTCGTCGCATACGATTTTTCGGAATGCAAATCAATCAGCTATACACTGATTAATGATTATGTCATTCGAACCGAAAAGATGTATGTGTGTTTTTTTTCATCAACGAAGAGTCTTGAGGTGAAAATCATAGCATTTCATCATAGTTATTATTAAAATTTTCAACATTTGTCGACGTAAAATGTTCTACGTTTGAGCTTTCGATCGTATAGCAACACCAACACACACACAAAAAAACTCGATAGGCATAAGGTAATCACAATTTTATTATTGCGAACTTTTGCAACTGAAATTGACTGAACTAATGCGATTCATGTCAGAGAGAAGCAAAAAAAATGTTGCTAGAATTTGTTTTGTTTTAAGACTCGATAATTTTTGTTGTTGTTGTTGTAAATTTCTGCGTTTATCTCTAGCGAAAAGATAAACAAGCACATATATTAGTGTACTGCAAGGCATTAATCAATATAATGAACTGTTCCGTGCATGTTAAATGACTCGTCCGTTTAATTCGTGCTAAACGCCCCAGCCATTCGTATATACAAATACGATTGAGCGAGAAAGTTGCATTTGCACACACACTAATTGGTAATTTTGTAATTGGTACAAATTTTGCATACGACAAACAACGAAAATATCCAAAACAAAGTTTGTACGAAAGAGATAAAAATTCGCGAATTAAAAAAAAATTATGTGAAAATTGGTCGGTGATTTTGCACCGTGCACGCAAACGAATATCATAAAATGTTGTTGAGATGAAATAGCCTAGAATCGAACATTTGAGAATAGGCTATGGAGCGATTGACGCTTGCTTATGCGCTTGTTTTGATACATATTTGCATATACACGTAATAATTTAATCGATGTCAAGATAATCGAAAATCACTTTTCATTCATTTATCATTCAATTTGAATGATTCAAATATGGTGAACGAATGACATTGGCGCATCGCCACCTCATTTATTTAGATTTGTTTCTTTTTTCTTCTCTCGTACTTCTTTTTATTATCTACTTGACCTGATGAATGAACGACTTTATTTTTTATAAATTCCGGACATTTTCCCGTCTTTTTAACTTTTTTTCTTCATTTAACGATGTTTTCTTATTTTTTTTTTGTCATTGCAGTGGTGCCTTTTCCGAAGTCCGTTTAGCCGAAAGCAAAGAACATAACAATCAACTATACGCTGTAAAAATAATTGATAAAAAAGCGCTCAAAGGAAAAGAAGACTCACTAGAAAATGAAATTAGAGTACTTAGAAGGTAAGTGTTAAGACAATCACCATTATGGTGTACCGATTTTTTTTATGTCTCTGTATTCGTATTTTGGTCTCTCATTTGAATTTTTCCCTCCCATCAAAAATGAAATGAACAAAAAAAAACCACCCAGTCAATATCAACTCGAGTAAAATGAAATAACAATATATTAACCTATATAAACAAAAACCAAATACAAGTGATTAATTCACCCACACCTACACACCTAGTCATAATTAATTGTATAATAGTTTTAATGTGTTCATATATTTTTTTTAATATTTTGTTTGTTTCTGTTTTCTTAACCAAAAATAACAAGTGTATAGAAGAGTGTCATTTCATGACTAAAAACTTATTTTTTTTTTTGTCGAACCGAAATTAACCAGAAAATTACATACACACATACACAATATAGTACATGAATAAAATATCCAACCAACCACCCCCCAGTATTAGATTGAAGCTAAAATACATCACTTTTAGAACTTGAGATTGCATAATTGTTCAATGAATTAACAACAGCCACTATAACCCCGTCCGCTCACCCCACCTCATTTCAACCATACATTTATTATTGAATAACTTATAATTAAAATGTGAAGTGTAAATAACGCACAGAAATTTCTCATTATTTTAAATTCTTTTGTTTTGTTTAGTATTTTGGGCCTTTTATTTATGGCTTCGAATGAAATACAGCAGGATCTCTTCTAATTTCTGAAAATTTCTAATTTCAGACGGAACATTTTCCGAATTGAATTTACGCAAAAAGCACTTGAATAATCAAAAACACCAAAACGAGTTTTCCATTTGAAAAGGTGAATTCAGACATTATAATGAGATATTTTCAGCCAGATGAATCAGCTCAGCCAGATATCGTCAGGAGCTGAAATTAAGTGTAAACAATAGAAGTGATTGTTATGGTTATAGTTACACTTACATCGCTACAATCACTATAACAATCACTTTAATTGTTTTCACTCCATTTCAGCTCCTGACGATATCTGGCTGAGCTGATTCATCTGGCTGAAATTATCTCATTATAATCTTGAAAATGTGTGTTTAACTCACACGGAACCATGTTTGCAATCGATTAATCAATTAGTTTTTTGAAAGTGTTCCTTATTGATTGCATTCTCATTATAATGTCTGGGTGAATTCTATTTAATTATTGTCCAAAAAATCGTTTATATGTGTCACATATTATGTGCAAAGACTTTTTAAATTTTGTGGAAAAAAATTATTTTCTCATGCACGAAATGAAATGTGGTTTGAAGTACAGACAAAAAAGTAGAGACAAATATCAGTTTCCACATTTTTTTTTGGTAAAAATCGAGAATTTTCACTTTTATATACGTTTTTATGCATAAGCTCGGATATAGATTATATAGATCGCATTTACCCTCCCCTAACGTTTTAGCACCCCCAGCAGATTTTTATAAAATCTTTCGATTTGCCTTTTTGAATGAGAAAAATTCTTCTAATTTGCTGGAGTTTTTTTGGCCAAAATTTTACAGCTGTGATCAATTTTGATCCGAGTGAAATGAAAACCCCCTTTTTGCTAGGATTTTTATTCGGCTGAAGACCCACTCATCGATTTTCGATTATAGCCCCTTTAGATTTGCATGCGTGAGAAGCTATGATTTTATTCAAATTAAATTCGGTAAAATGACAGAATGTAATGAACGGATAAATGATTGATCGGAGGGTTTCTAATTTTAGTGACTTCTAATTTCCGAGGTCCTGCTGCATACAGATTACAGAATAATATTGTTGACATGAACATTTGACCGTATACATGTGATCCATTTGTGTGCAAATAAATTTCAAAATGAAATCAACATCAGTTTGTCGAAAATAATTAGAAATCTCCTTTCACACATATATCAAATTCTATGGTTTTTGCGTCACTTTTTATTCCGAACCAATACGCCTACATTCAATGTAATTTATTTAATTATTCCCTTCAATCTCTCTCGCTTTCTCGCCCTCACACACAATCACACACACGCGCCTACCCATTTTGTTGACAAAACCCATGCGAAATTGTAAATAAAAAACCGATTTTGCATATTTTGATTGTCCGTACCACTTTTATGTTTACATTAAAGTCTCTCAGTATACATTTATTTAACTTTACCAACGTAGCCTCAGTTTTTGTTATACATTTTGTTCTATTATTGGGAACCGGGTATAGTGTTTCATGCGAACTTCCAAGTGGCTGTACATTTTTATTTCTATTTTGTCTTCATTTGATTGTTGTTGACCATTGAAATGGGAGTGCATGTGTTGCATTTTAGCGTAATGCACCGAATCAAATGGCAAAATTAAATATTTTTTCTTTCTTTCATCATCGAAACCAAATGATGCGGTTCACAATTCAAAATAGAAACCACACATGCACATGTATTCGATTTGGTATGTGAATGGTGCGCGTTCGAGTTTAATTAAATTAAATGAAGTGCGGTGCTGTGGTGCATTATGGTGTTTGCCCATCAATCTGAATGACCACGCGTATTTGTCATTCACTGTCGCCATTATCAAATGACAGTGAGACAACAACAGCGGCGACAAACAATGATAATGGCAAACGGTCGCTCTCGCCTTTTCCCATAGACCCACAAACCAAACGCATTGATTGCTGTTGTTAACTGAACGAGCTATAAAATACAATGCAACACATGTGTTCGGCCTGTAATATTTTTCACACACACGCACTCGCTTTGTTCTTGTTTTCTCTCCTTCAATTGGTATGAAAACTAGATAAGAGGACATTTGACGCATTGAAACGCCTTGTTAAGATGAAAATACAAACACACACACACACATTCTTCATTGCAAAATAGTTTAACAAGCACTTTATCATCTCTCTTTCTGTGTTGATTACAACTAGATTCACTCTTCAATTCGATGATGTTATGGAGTCGCGCTTTTTCTTCATTTGTTCTGTTCTTTCATTCAGCTTCAATTCGTTGGTGTTGTTTGTATATTGTATTGCGCTTAACAGACTACAATTCACACCAGTTTCCATGCCATTTGATCATACTAATCGCAATCTTGTTGCTTTTCAATTCCAATTCGTGTTTTTTTTTATATATATTATCACTTTCCATTGTCGTTCTCGTCGTCGGTTATTTTATGAGAACAAACTGTGTGTGTGTCTATTTTATTTTGTATTCCATTTCTTCTATTATCTCGTTCTCACTCTCCAACACTCGTTCCTTCTGTGAGATATATTGTTCATGGTTCAGTTTTCAATGGTGAAGAAAAAAATTCAGCACATTTTCCATTACGGCAAATTAATGTTCGTGAGAGAATTTACTAAGTATTTCAGAACATGTAAACTTATTCAAACGCTTTTCGCTACCCCATAAAACCATACGGCGCATACATATACATACGGTACATTGAAATGTCAAAGCTATATGTGCTCATTCAATTTAATTCGAAGCAGCAAAAATAACGAATACAACACGAAAAGGATATGTGCCAAAAGCTTCATCAAAAGAATATTATTCAAAAATCCAATGCACACACACACACACTGTTATATGACACAGCTAAAATATGGTGGCAATGACTAAGCATATCGCATAGAACACAGTGTCTCATACATGGCAAGTGTGTTTCTAGATTTCGCATTTCAACCATATTCGATATAATGTCTTGAAGTGAAATCGTGTTTTAATTCGTATAAATATTTAGATGATTTTCGTCATCGATGTTCGCATGCGAATTATTAATGCAGATCGACTGGTAAATTATCGCAAAAGCGAATGAAAACCAGTGAATGAAGCGTACGAGAGACATCAAACCGAGAGAAAAACAAATAAACGCTGAATAATTCTATGCTATACACACATTTTCGATGCAATTTTGATTGTGAAAATGCACACACACACAGCTCACATGCCAGACGATTTTAATATCATTTACCGTGTTGCATGGCAAAAGTGAACCTAAGATGTATATGCATAACGAAGGAATATGAAGTTCACTTCAATTTGACACCGAATCACCACCAGCAACACACACACACACACCCCGTGAGAGAGAGAGGAAAAGAAAAACATACCATGGATAATAAGAGAATTACGCAGCGACTTTTCCCATGAATTATCACCGTTATTGCTGTTGATGTTTTTTTTCCTTTGCTTTCGCTTATTTCATGCAGCGAACGTAGACGTTTTTCTTTTGCACACTTCTTTATTTTCATCCCACTCAATGTTCTCGCATTTACTCGTTTGCTCTCTAATTTTCCGCCCTATGCATTCTGAGCCGCTACTTTGCTACGTTGTTTTTTTGGATATATGTTTATATTTTTCTTGGGTTTTGTGTTAATTTTGCAGCTATAGAAAAAGAAGAAGATAGTAAACAGAAGTAAAGCCACTTAAACTCCATATGTGTTGTGCAGCGTTCAGATGCATTTTATGCTCGGTTGCGTTCCTTAGCGGGGGTGCACTACATTTTTTACCGTCGAATTAGAGACCGTTTAAAAGAATTAAAGAAACCAAGCGATTTCATTTCAACACATTTTATGTCGTCATTACATTAACATGCACTTTATTTCGAAAAAGTGAAACTGTGCACGTTCTAAATATTTGCGCTCTGATTTTACTCAATCTTTTTTTTTTTCGTTCATGTTTCACCATATGCGGTTGTTGTTGCAATTGTGCATACACGAAAAGCTTTTTCCATATCATATCGCTTGAGCGCTTGAGTTCTTGGGTTCGTATGTTGTTGGAAGCACATACAAATCGTAAAATGTATAGCAACTTTTACTGGCCTGGGTTCGTTTAGCGATATTTGAATATTCCCGGCGATTTATAATTTGGTTACAAGTCGGTTATTTGGTTCGTTACTCATGATTTTAACACCGTACCGCATGCGGTGTTCGCTTGCATTGATGAACCAAATTAAATGCAAACGAAGATATTCGATAACGCCAACGGATTTTAAAACAATATACTCGAGGCACAATGAGAGATCGGGTACAACTAATAAGTAAA